TGTAATTGAAGCCTCTGGTTACCATTCATTTGGGTTTGACTCTTTGTTTATTGAAAATGTTTTCATAATAATGGAGTTACAATCAAATCTAATAATAAGCAACAGCCAAAGATGATGATTATCATCAAGATGATGATGAGGATGATAATATCACTAATAAAAAATATACTAAGATCAGCATCACATTATATTTATTCAAAGTGACATTGATTGATTATTTGTGAAAAAAAACCTAATATATTGTCACATTTTAAGAGCCTGAGGAAGAGATGATGAAGATGAGGATGAAGATGATGAAGTAAGTACAATATGAAAATGGGTTCGATTTTTTTTGCTCTTCTTAATCTTCTTTTCATCTGCTTCATCATCTCATTCACACAAACAATAATAAGAAAAAAGAGAAAGAATAAAAGAAAAAAGAAAGTTCTTTTCTTCTTTAAATTTTCCATCAATGAATTTACTATGAATGAGAAAACTGAATGGAAACAAACACAAATATCAGAATCTTTTTCATGGAAAATTATTCATCATCATAAGTCACCTTAATCTTAACCATTGATACTTTATAAATTGTGATACACGTTGAACTGAATTACATTTAATTTGATTACTTCTAATTGTTTGATCGGATCGTTGAATTGTAAATGATCAAGTGGACAAGAGAGAAAGTGAAAATTCTGGTGAAAACTTTTGGTTCCAAATATTTTCAGGTAGAAAAGAATAATTTTCTTCTTCTCTTTCTTTTCTTTCTCTCTTCTCTTCCAATCATACCTTCCGAATACAAGATGTAACCTCCTTCTTACAACGCTCTCTGATTTACCACCCACTTTCTCGCTCCTCCCATTTTCTTAAGTAATTCCCTTTAAATCTCTCTCTCTCTCTCTCTTTCTTTCTTTCTTTCTTTCTTTCTTTCTTTCTTATGCAAAAAACTCCTCCTTCCCTTTTCTCGTCTTTCTCTTACTTTTGGTTATCTTCATCCTGATCTTCATCATCTTCATTGGTCCCTCAAGATATTTGATTTCATCCGAAATCAATTGTAGCCTTTTTCAATGGAAAACAATTAACAAGCAACAATTTAGTTCATTCATTCAAAAAGTTAATCATTTTCTAGACTTTTTTTCGTTCATCGTTAAAACTCATTAAACTTTTTATTTCACTTTTTAAATTTGTTGATTAAAATACTTTTAATAAGTTCAATCAACTAATCAATTCACTTCTCAGACTATTTAATATTATCGAGAGGAAATAAATTAAATTTTCACTTTTGGAAACAATTTGTTAATTAACTTTTCATTAATTTCTTACATTATACTGATCAAAATGAAAAGAGAAAAATTTTGTTCCAAAGAAAGTGGATAAAAGGGAGTGGCAATCAGATGAGATTCTAATTGTTTCGTATTCACCTTGAGAGAGAATTTTACTATTCTAAATCAGTGAGAACTTTCTAGTCAATTTGATGATCACTTTGAGAATTATGATAAGCGAAAAAAAAAGAGAAAAAAAATCACGATAAGAACGAAATCGTTTGTAGAATTTTCATCTTTCGTTTCCATGGAAACAATTACCAATTTCGTCATCAATCATCAATACAATTTCCTAGTGAGTGGATGAGAGTTAAGTAAGTAAGGTGGAGATGACAAAGAGAGAGAGAGAGAGAGAGAAAGGATGAAGATGATAAAGTTAAATGGACTTGAGATAATATTTATTTTTTTCTCATTCTGTTGACCAACAACAACTATCGGATGAAGTGTGATGATGGTGAAGGAGGAAAATGATGAGGATGAGGAGACAAGATAACAGAAAATACTGTTTACACTATTAGGGAGCATCTTTGGTTTTCCTTTACATCATCATCTCACTTTATCATCTCCTTTATCACTATTACTCTCTCTCTCTCTCTCTCTCTCTCTCTCTCTCTCTCTCTCTCTCTCTCTCTCTCTCTCTCTCTCTCTCTCTCTCTCTCTCTCTACATGTTATCGTTCTGAGAAAGGAAACATTTTCTGTCTTCATCATCTTAAACCATCGGAAGAAGTTTATCATCTTCACTTTCTTTTTTTTCCTTCATCATCATCTTTGGTCTTTTTTTATGCTTCTCACTCGTCGATTGATTTTCAGCTCTCCCCACTCATCCATTGGTCAACACATGAATAGATTTCATTCCTCGACTGGACAAATTGTCCATTCAATCAACACTATCCCTTCATCATCTTTTTTATCCTCCCTCTCACTCTCTCATCATCATTCACAATCACATCTTGTTGTTATATCACATCAATCAACATTCAATCAACAAAACTGTCAACAATTTTATCCTCCATCAGCATTACCCTCATCATCCTTTATTCAATGTCCATCCACAACCAGACAACAACAACAACAAAAAATGCTAATCCTCACAATTAACTAATGACCAACTTAAATCTCAACAATCAGTTAGATTATCATCTCGTATAATCAACACAAACCCAATGAATACTCAAATTAAAAACTAAATCAAATAAATTAAACCCACACAATTAAATCTAATTGAAAAAAAAAGTCCCAACACTAATCATTATCAAAAAAAATTCAACTACTAAACTGATGATGAATAATATCAAATTACCGTTATAATGATTATCACAATCAACGTAAATAATAATAATAGAGCAATAATTTAAAAAGCAAAACCTAATGAGCACAATTAAAGATATTAAATCAGTTATGACACCCAAATTATGATACAATTGATCATAAACAGATAATCATTAACAATCAATGATAACTTAATTCACTGGGCCAAAACTATTGATTTAATAACATTTTTAATGGCTAATCAACTTTTCAATCCTCATGTGTGATAATAAAATAATCATAATCATCACCATCACCATCATAATAACAATAATCAAACCTTGAATGATAATAATAAGGAAAAAAACTAAAGTAAATGTTATTATTATTAGTTGATTGTTGATTGTTGTCTCTTATATTATTTATCAACAAACCAGCAAAAAATAATCATCATTTTTATTATATTACTTTGTTGTTTTCTGTAAACATTAACAATCAGCTGTAAATGGGATAATCATGATAATAATTGATTCTTATGGGAGTAATAATATTATCTTCAAATATAATATAATAAAAGTGACAAAATAGATACTAATTTATGTGAATATCATTTTACTTTAATATAAATTGTTGTGTTTCCATCAGTTTCCAATGGTTAACAATTAAATTTCCCTTTTCCTTTTCCTTTGTCGTTGAATTGGAAAACTTTTCAACTTCTTGATTGTTGATTAAGTTAAAATCAAATTGATTAATCTATTATTTGGATCAATCTTTGTTTCTCCCCCTTTTTATTTTTGTTAATCATCTTGATTAATGTGCACTACTAACTATTAATAATAATGTAATTAAAATGTAATTATCTTGATATTATTGAGTAGTAGTTAAGGTAATGATAAAATAATAATATATTGCAATTAAATGAGTTAGTTAAATGTTATTGTTGTTATTACATTTAAAAAGAGGAAGATGAGAAAAGGAGAGAGAGAGAGAGTGAGTGAGTGAGAGAGGACTCATTCTTTTTCCACTCAATCTTATCTTCCTCTGAATGATGATGAGGTGATGGTGGTGGTGATGATGATGATGGTGGGAGAAGAGGAAGAGGAAAGGATGAGGAAGATTATTTTCCATTGCCACTTCAAGTCTCCCCTCCTCACTGTTTCTTTCTCTCACCTCACTCTTCCCACCCACTATTACTTAATATTGATTCCTCTTCCTACTTTCTCCTTAGACTTGGTTAACTTTTCTGGTTTAAAGCAATTAATAAAGACATCAATCTTATGGAGTTGCAAGAAGAAAAAAAAATCATCATCATCAAGGACTTTCCAATGACAAATTTAGCATCATCATCTTTAAAAATTACTCCCTCATCTTTTTCATCTTTAGTCATCATTATTATCATATTCATCATCAATTTCATCTTCATCATTCTCATTTCCAATGTTATCTTTCCAACTTTTCAGATTATCTTCATCACTCTCTCTCTCTCTCCCTTATCATCATAATGATTTGCATCTCTCACTTTTTTTTCCAACTCTTCCTGCTCACCCTTTCATCCTTTTTTATCAGCATCTTCATCAACATATTTTATTACATAATATCTTTTTCTTCATCATCTTCATGAAGCTTTTCTGATAAAGTCATTGTTCATTGAACCAACACCCACAATAGATTCAATTGTTATCGTTATTTTTGATTCCATTAGAACCTTTTACTTTCTCGAGAATTCAAAAATTCTGATTATTTATTGTTTTACTTTTTTTTCTTCACCCTCTTCCCCTCTCATGATAACATCATGATTACCATGAACTATCATTATATTATTATTAATCTTAATGGAGGAGGTTACATGATACAACAAAAGGTGAGAGTCTTGATAGTTGTTTCAACATTTATATATATTTTTCCCATGGTAACTATTCAGTGTTGCATGAAATTGAATAGGAAAATGAATGAAACATTTACATGTTACAAATGTTTCATTCATGACTATCTTCATCATCATCATCATCATTTACATAACTTCAAATAGTAATAATAATCATATGAAAAATATGATGATGAGATAATCTAAATGAAACCCATGAAACATTGAATATCATGCAGAAGAAGAAAGAAAAAGTCAAATGATCATTTATAAATAAATCGTAAGTAAAGATACAGAGAAAATTTAAATTTCAGATTCAATAGATTTTTACATCTTTATCATCATCATCATCATCTTCCTCTTTCTCTTCATCATCAACACCATCATATTCATCCTAAGCATCAATTGCAAACACTTTTTTAGTAAAAAAAGTTTACCTTTTCAAATTGAGCCTCAAATGGCTCATAAAATGAGCAACATCAATTGATATCATTGCAACATCATCATCATCATCCTAACCCACCTTCAAATGATATTTATCTATCATCTCCTCCCAGATGATGATAAAAAGAAGAGGAAAATATTCTGTTTAGTTGATAAAAACAACACAAACTCGTAAAGTACAAAAAATACTCATAAACTATCATAAGTAACTGTATATAAATCTAATGGTATGCAAACACACTTTATGTCACTTACCTTTTTTTTTCATTTTGCATATACACTTTTCCTCCATAATCATCATCATCTTCATACTCATCATTATCATCCTTATCCTCCATCTCTCTCGGTTTTACCATCACTTGGCTCATAACTGTTTAAGTTTTTTTTATCTTCTTTGTCTTTTCCATACATATAATATATTTGGATCCACTTTGATTTAACCTTTGTTTTGATTTATAACAAGAAAAACGTGAAAACTTATTAGTCTAAAAGTCATTGATCAAAAGTAACGGTTAATTGCATTATTAACTTTTTCATTCACAATTATCATTAGATTGTATTGATAAGCACGTCTAGAGTATGGTTGTGAAAACAATGAGTTAATATGCAAATCAATTTACAATCAATTTAACTTTTTCTTTCACTTCATTGGTTATTTCAATTGATTGATTGAAAAGCTTCATGATAAGTAATAACATTAACAATATTTTTCCCAATTCAATTTAAAATCATTGAAATTTAGTTTTTACTTATAAATTATTATCAAAAATATTTTACACTCTACATACCTAAGAATCAAGAAAGCATCATGATTGTAATAACATAATTGCAAATTATTTGAATCAATTCAATCACCTTTATCCCCATCATCATCCTAAATCCTTGGCTCTCCTCCTCATCCGCATCCTTTTTTCATCCTCCTCAATTTATGTAACCCTTTTGCTGTAATAAAAAAAATACTAACCCAGTGAAACCATTTAATGCTTTGTTTTGTAAATGTTATCAACTCTTTCAAGCGTCAAAATGCAATGGAAACTAATACAACTCCTTTTGTTTGATTGTTAACAATCAAATGCATAAATATATTTGCAGTATTAAACGATATCCATTGCAATAATCAAGGTTATCAATTGCCGAAAAACATTCAGGAATTAATAAGTGTGCAGAATGAGAGGTGGAGAGAAAAAAATCCCAATGATAACACGTCCATTTATATGAATGTTGATAATCAGCATTTAATGTCTCCCGCTCGATGTGTGAGTTGTTTTTTTTTATGTAACTTGGATATTTCATTGTTGAATTGGTTTGCTGATCTTTTCCCTTTTGATTGTTGTGATTGTATTGAATTTTCTGAAATGATTAGCATCAAATACTATCAAGGGGTGGAGGTTAAACTGGTCCAAGAGTGTAAATGAGATTGTCAGAAACAAACGCCGCCAATTTTACAGGGATGTGCAAGAAGAAATCAGTCTTGTCCTCATACTCTATTCATTAGTATTATCCCTTTGGATCCACATGCACAGACATCTAAACATTACCACCACCGCTCACTGGAGAGAGGGAGAAAGAGAGAGAAACGTATGATGAGAATCAAAGGGTTAATATTGCAAATCCAATGTTGTTGCATGTTGCAAATCAATTCAATTGAAGACAATTGTGTGTAAGTGTAACTGGAGACATGATAAGATGATTTTTTTTATATACATTCATTGTTTTGGGAATTGAATGATGATGATGGAGAGGGAATCAGGGATGATGAAGATAAAAGATGAGGATGTTTTTTTTGTTATGTTTGAAATGAGAAAAAAAAGACGAATGAAAAAAACGAAGAGTTTGATAAGGTTTGGTTGGAGAAAATTTAATTAGAGAAGAATCAGAATCTATGTTGATTAATTAATTGATTAACCAAGAATCTCTATTTAATTTCCGTTCTCTTATTATTATTAGCATTGTTTTCCTCGTCATCATCTTCATCCTTCATTCATCTTTTACACTATTCATTTGCATCTTCATCTCTCTTTCTATTTTTCTTCTCATCATCATCATCTTTTTCACACTTGTTATTGTTACTCTCTCTCTCTCTCTCTCTCTCTTTTCATCATCATCTTCATTCAATCATCTTTCTTTTTAATTAATATCATTGTCTAGTGTGTAGGGTGCGACAATTTAAATTAAAAATTGAAAATGATTAACTATTGTTAACAATTAGATTGAAGTTTGTTTTTCTCTTGTTGTTTTGAGTTGGAACACTTAAAAACAACACAAGGATTGGTTATCGTTCAATTATAATGTTAATTGTTGTTTTCTGGTTACAATTGAGAAATTGATATTAACTGTTAATTAATGTTTGCTAATTTGATTTATCGGCGATAATAATAATAACTCTGAGTATATTTTTTTTTCTTCTAATCATTAATGATGATGATAACTCTTGGTACATGTTTTCCAATTGTTTTACTTTCTGTGAACTGTAATCAATTTAATCAATACAAAGTTATCATTATCAAAAATGATTATAATTATTATTACTATTTTAATGAAGAATTGAGAGAGAGAAAAGTAAAGAAATATCAAATTTCCCTCCTCTTTTTGCAAAAGGTAACCTTTCCTTAAAGAAGGAGGAGATTCCTTAATGAAGAGTAATAATTAATTGTAATTTGTTAATGTTTCTTGTTATTTACCTTTGTTACCTTTTCCTTTACTTGATGATGTGAGATTAACTAATAAGAAACTGGCTCGTCCCATCACATTGCCCTCAAGGAGATGATGATAACTAGAAGTTGTAATAATGATAATTTCCAACATAGAAGACCAAGATGATGATGATGATGATTACAGTGATTCCCAGGTTGGAGTTTAATGAAAATTTTGAGTTTTTGCTGAAAAAAGAAGTTATTTTTATTATTAAGAGAAAAGAACAGAAAAAGAACTTGAAAATAATTCTCTCTCTCTAGTTTAAGAGGCGTTTAAGTTATAATATGAAATTAATTGATCTTAGAGAAAGTGAATTCTAGAGATGTTTAATTTACATACATGGATGGAAAAGAATAGAAAGAAAATTATGATTTAAGATGAAGGTTAATAAACATTTTAAATTGTTTCGCTTCTAGTGGAGTTAATATGTGTTATTAATGGTGGAAAACAAAAGGTGATAGTTAATATTGTCATTTAATTGTAGTAATGAAAGTGGATTGTGTTTATTAAGATAATGGAGTTAATTTTAAGGAGAGAATAATTTTAACGAAATTAATCTAATCATTACAAAGAGAGAGAGAGAAAAGTAAAGAAATATCAAATTTCCCTCCTCTTTTTGCAAAAGGTAACCTTTCCTTAAAGAAGGAGGAGATTCCTTAATGAAGAGTAATAATTAATTGTAATTTGTTAATGTTTCTTGTTATTTACCTTTGTTACCTTTTCCTTTACTTGATGATGTGAGATTAACTAATAAGAAACTGGCTCGTCCCATCACATTGCCCTCAAGGAGATGATGATAACTAGAAGTTGTAATAATGATAATTTCCAACATAGAGAAGACCAAGATGATGATGATGATGATTACAGTGATTCCCAGGTTGGAGTTTAATGAAAATTTTGAGTTTTTTTTGCTGAAAAAAAAGAAGTTATTTTTTTATTATTAAGAGAAAAGAACAGAAAAAAAGAACTTGAAAATAATTCTTTCTCTCTCTCTCTCTAGTTTAAGAGGCGTTTAAGTTATAATATGAAATTAATTGATCTTAGAGAAAGTGAATTCTAGAGATGTTTAATTTACATACATGGATGGAAAAAGAATAGAAAGAAAAATTATGATTTAAGATGAAGGTTAATAAACATTTTAAATTGTTTCGCTTCTAGTGGAGTTAATATGTGTTATTAATGGTGGAAAACAAAAGGTGATAGTTAATATTGTCATTTAATTGTAGTAATGAAAGTGGATTGTGTTTATTAAGATAATGGAGTTAATTTTAAGGAGAGAATAATTTTAACGAAATTAATCTAATCATTACAAAGAGAGAGAGAGAGAAGGAAATAAATTTAGAAAACACTGATGAGGTTTGCTTGTTTTTCTGTGTTTTTTTTTGTTCTTTTCACTGGCAAATTTTAATTGAATTAGGAATTAACTCTTTGCTTGTTGTTTTTTTTTCTTCTTCATCTTTTCCACTCCCATTCCCACTTCTCTCTCTCTCTCTCTCTCTTTGCAATCTGGGGTATGATTGACAGTTAATTGACTTCAATAGTGAAGAGAGTTAACTAACTGTTAGGAGTGAGTGTGTATGTTTAACTGATGATTAGTTGATACAACTTACTGTTTAACTAAACAATTACAAGTTTCTTAATTGTAATAGTTGTTGGTTGAACCGCTCCTTATTTAATTCTTGTAATGAGCTGTTGTTGGTTAAATAAAACGAGAGAGAGAGAGAGAGAGAGATGGAATAGGAGATTAAAGATGCAGAAGAAGAGAAAAGGATAGAAGAAAACAAAAGAGAAAACAACTTACCTTTTCTTTTTTACAACAAGTTTATGTGTGTGGATTAAAATTAAGATGGAGAAGGTTGATTTCCTTTTCTACTCTCTATTTGTTTCTGTTTTTTAAAACAAAACATTGTGTTCATCTTTATCTCTATCATCAGTATCATCTCCATCTTCATCTCTATCATAGTTCTATTCTCATCTGCCTCAAAGAGAGAGAAAGTATATTCTTCCAACTCCTCCTTCCATTGCAAAGGTAAAAGGTAGAAGGAGGAGGAGGAGGAGGCAGATAAGAAAACAGAAGATGATGAGGCTAAGAAAGAAATAGAAGATGAAGCTTTTTCTTCTCTCTCTCTCTCACTCACTATTTGTTCATATCCTGAAGGTAAAAAAATTACAATGTAATAGTTGTGGAGGATAATGTAACTTGTAGTAGCTTGTCACATGAACTAAATCAAGTAGAAACACATTAGCACCAAAATAACTGGTACCAATTTCACGGTTCATAATAAACTAATCACAATACTAATTAATTGTTCTACTTATTCCATGTAATGAGTACTAATTGTTTCCATTGACAAAAATAGAGAAAAAAACAAAGATGTGGGCTAAACAATCACTTAATTGTTGAGAGAGAAACAAGAAAAAAGGAAAAAAAATCAAAATAGAAAATGAAAATATCGATATCGATAAAAAGATAACGAATCTTAGTCCTGATCTCAAGTATCGTTTTCGGTTTGAAATTCAAAATTTGAATTTCAAATTTTTAATTTTCTTCTTTTAATTGATTAATTAATTAATTGGTTTCTTTTTTAGTTGATTAATTTGATTGTTAATCTCTTCGTTTGGTGAATTTAATTCTATCTGGATCTTAGCTTTGTTCTAATTGGAACAATTATCATTGGTGAGCGTTTGTTTTTCTTTTGTTTTATTTTTCTTTTTCTAAATCATTTTTATTCTATTCTCTTTTGTTTTATATAGAAAATGGATTTTTTTTTCTTCTGAATTTGTCTATGTGTTTGTCTCGCTCACCCATTTGGTTTTATTCATCGATGTTCCTGTTTCCATGTTATTCAGAGTAACGGATTGATGATTCTAAATACAATTACCAAGAAGAAAACAATATGCTCGATGGTTTATGGTATTGTTATTGTTTGGAATTATTTTACTAGTAAAATTGTATGAATATGAATGTATTCATAAAAAAAGGTGATAGTGTGAGGATGTAGATGAGATGAGCTGAGAGAGAGAGAGAGAAGAAAAAATGAGTATGAATAAGGAAGAGAAGGAAACAAAAGGATTCGCCATGATGATGGAGAGAAAAAAATGTTTAAGCTTTAGTATTAAGCTTCATAATCATTGATCTTGATTCTCAATCCTTTTATCATTCTCACCTTCATCATCTACTCTCACTCACTATTTCATCATTATCATTATGGAAAATCATTCCAAGCCAATGAATCTTCTTCCCCATCATCATCATCATCATTTTCCATTCAATTCTCTTTTCTTTTTTCTAATGAAAAGAGATACTTTTTTAATTCATTTGACAATAACAGTCTCTGAGCTTTTCTACCTCTGTTATGTTAGAAATGAGAGAGAAAAAATTGAAAATGATGATCATGATGATAACTCTCCCAATACTAAATGAATACAATTCTCAGTCTAAATCCTCTTTGATGAAATCTTGCTCCATCTTCATCTCCCATCTTATTAATAGTTTATACACATTTCCGATCTTCAATTTGTTTCTACTTACATTTTAATGATAAATTATTATTCTCAGTAATCAAAGTGTTCAACCAGTTTAATCGTACGCCTATTATATTACATTTTTCATTCATTTATCATTAATTCTGGTGAAACAAATGATTAACTACCATTTCCTTTAACACTATTGTTTTTACTTCTATCAATATAATCATCATCATCCTCATCATTTACTCCACTTTAGAAAACAATGATGATAGAGATGATTACACATAAAAGTAACACAATATTATTCAATGTTTAATATTTTATTGTAAACGTTAAATTGTTCACTATTTGAGTAATAATAATCTATTATTGAGATGATGAAGGATAGAAAGAGAGTGAGAGATGAAGATACAATTGATTGGATTGACTGTTACAATTTACGGTAAATAGTCAACGTTTATTGTTAACATTTATACTTTATGATTACCGTTATGTTATCAGGAAAACAATCAATTTTATTAGAATATAATATTTTCTTTTTTTTCAAGGTTAATCTAATATTATTATTTCTTTTCTTCCCATAGTAAACTATTGATGCCCTTAAGCCTTATTCACGGGAATGATTGAGTATTTATGGTTTTGATAACAAGAGTCAAGATTATCAAACATGAGCCATGAAAATGACCTGAATGTGAATCATCAATATCGAGAAAATTGAATGAATATTAAAGTCACCAAATCAACAATCAAATCTATTGGATGGTGGATAATATTAAATGTAAAAAGAAAATAACAAAAGATTATTACACAGTTTATCATCAATTTTGGTGGACAAGTTATCACCACCAATCATCATCATCATCATCATCGTGGGCAATACTATCAAAAGTAACTACCAACGTCATCATCATGATCAATTGAAGTGAAATGGATGAGGAATGAAAAATTATCCTGAAAGATTGGTAACAAAACCCATTGGATTACAGGAACCATATGATAAGACGCTGTTGATGGTAAAATGATCATTAATTTATATATAAACTGGAGGAAAAGTGAAAATAAAGGTGTTCACAATCAACTGGATCATTAAATTGTTGTTTGTTGGGTCAAGCATAAAGTCTGTTTTAAATGGTCAACATGATTCTCGTGGTAAATTGTCACTGGTGTTAAATTGGTAAATGATTGTGGTCAATCTTACAGACACACTAATATCCACTTAATCTGTATCAAGGTGAATTTGTATTTTCAATCGTGCATCTAAATTGTTTATCACAAATTAGTTTAATTGGGATTATTTTCATCTTCTCTTGTCTCATCATCATCACGACACAAAACTATGACGATAAACTATTACCACCAACCTCCCATTTCCTATTTACCTCTGGATCTCTCGATTTCACTCTCACGAGAAACAATAATAATCAAATAGTGAATCAAAATCTCATATCAATTTCAATGTTTCTTGTGTGTTTGTTTAGTTTTAAGTGGTAAAATCAACATCATCTTAAAGCTAAAACTTTTAATAAGTATATAAATATATACACCATGGTGGAAAAAATGAAAACAGAGAAATCATATTAAGTCTGTGAAACTGAAAATTTGAGATAAAACAGAAAATAAGTTAAGTCACTTAACTGTTATACTTTTTTTCACCAACCTTTTATTAAGCTTTTATTTTTGTTCTTCTCATCCATCTTTTCTTCCTCATCATCCTCATCAACATCTCTCTCTCTCTCTCTTTCTCCTCCTCTTTTTCTAGTATCACTTTTTTTTAATAATCATAATACACTGAATTGTATTCAAAAGCAAAAACACAGAGACCAACAACTCATATTGTCTCCAATTCATCATCCATCTTTTTTCTCATCATCTTGTCTCTCTCCCACTCTCATTGACTGTTCTTGCTCTCTCTCTCTCTCTCTCTCTCTCTCTCTCTGGTGTTTATCTTCATCATCTTCCTGATTCTACAAACAAACAATTTAAATTCTGTTACTTTTTTTTATAGCATTTTATAGTTTACAAGTTATCTGATTTTGGATTGAAAATGAATTCAGAATGAATTTAATGTTAGAAAACAAATAATCACAGTAAACACACTGAAATCTGTCATGATGACGAAGATGATGATTCCCTTCACCCTCCCCATACCTAATCCATATCCATTGTAAATGTCAATTAGTTTCAAGTACCAAGTTTGTTGTTAAATTGTTATGATGCTAAAAAAAGATGAGTTTCCCAAAAATCTGTTAATCTGTAAACATTATCATATGTGTATTTGCCTTTTATCACCTTCCTAAGCCTTTGAATCCTTGTTTCCCTTTTTTTTCTGTGTAATAATATGTTATCATAATCACCACTATCATCATATGGAACATCATCTACCACCGCATCATCACACAAAACTGTCAACAAGCAAGAAGACAAGGAAGATAATGATTTTTTTTCTACAAAATCAAGTCCAATATATACAAATATGGTTACTGTCCCTTCAAGGCTTCAATGTTATTCATTCAATTTCAATGTTATTCAAGACCAACTCTTGATTGTTTTTTTCTGTCTCAACTTATCTGTTATCCGTCATTTAAACTAATTGTGTATTTAATACACACACACTCATCAACATTATCATCGCCATCATCATCATAATTATCATCATCCCTTTTTTTGAATGAATCTCCTTTTGCTTGACTTGACATTTTGATGATTTCATGGTAAATCTTGAATCTTTTCACTGTTGTTGACCTTACATATATATAACATTTTGTTTATCTAAACTGTAAAAAAGGGTCACGATGATGAATAGAGGGATGATGAAGATGAAGATGATGATGATGATGATGAGGGAGGCAAAAGAGTTGAATTTATATATAAAAGTTGAGACAAAAAAACTTCAATTGTAAGTTACAAGACAATGGATTGGATGTTGACATTGTGAAAATTTACCAACGACAGCTAAATGTTGGTATTGTTGAGCAATTGTTTTGTAAATGAAGGTTGACTGATGATGATAATGATGATGACAAGATCCGATGAGCATAAATGGATGATTATTTGGTTTAGTAATTGCCTTTGGTGTGAGTGATTTAATCAACATGAAGCAAAAAACTGAGATTCAGTTATTAGGTATTGTATAATAACCTATGGCACAGCATGTGAACCTTTCACCATCTTAAACAGTGAGAATCAAAATTAAATTTGATTGTAATCAATTATTATTTTTTTCTTCATTGGATCTTTATGATTAACATGTATTGTTAACTGATTAACAATATATATTATGATTCTAATTGTAAATGATTAGTTGGAAAACTTTTTTTCTCCTGTTATTATCTTAATATCCACAGGATTTACTTAATCATTTCAAAGCCAATGGTTAACAATCAACTTTTTGTTTTTCCGTCTAATCGGATATCCTTTTAATTGATAACAGAATTAAGTTTAACTTGATTAACTTTTTCGATTGATTTACTCATAGAAACATTTGCAATTTAACTGAATTACTTGTTTACCTTTCGGCTGGTTGATTGCTCTCTCTCCTTAATCATCATCATCTCTTTATTATTATGAGAATATAATAATTTAAGATTAGTTTTGGAAAATTTTCTCACTCCTATTGTGTTTGTCCACTACTGGTCATCATACTCCTTTGGTATTAAATTACTAGAAGCCTTTTGGTTAACCTTTACTCCCGGAATGTTGGATAATTATGATTATATTAATTTGATAGCGAAGAAAAAAATTTCCCATTGATTATTATGGTTGATGTATTGTTTTTACTGTAGTTAGTTTACCAAACCATATCTTGATTGATGTTCTAATTAATTTGGTCACAATCAAATAATAGTTTTCATATAATATAATTTGCTCATGTTGGTGAGGTAATTTCTTAATTGTTTGACCATTGTGAGAGATTCTTTGACCATCCAAGTAAATTTAATTGGGAAATCAATAAAGATTATATATTGTAGTTTATTAATTAACTAATTTGTGAGCATTTAACTTGGACTTTTATTTTCCTCTTCATTTAATTTTTCAACTTGTATTGATGTAAATTGTTTCTTGTACTTTTGTCAGTATTTGTAATTATTATTCTGTTAATTAAGGAAATTATCATTATGGTTAAACGAAATTGATTCAACAAGTCAACCATTGAAAGTTTTAATCGGTTAACAATTACGATTTGATACTTATGGTGTTTCAATTGATTATCGCCCAAACTCGAGTCTGAAATCTAAATACTCAAAAACGAAAAAAAGTTTTCCCAGAAAACCTCATTGGAAACTTGATGAAATGTCCTGAAAATGAGAAAAGTTGAGGTCTCTGGTTAATCTAAATTGTAATGTTATTTTCTGTTTCTGATTGGCAAGGTGGAGATATTTTGGTTTTGATATTTATGTCCATCCTTAGTATTAGTAAATTTAGTAAATCCTTAGCTCTTTTAAATCACGAGTCAAAAGCTCGTGTACCTGGAGAAAAAGAGTTTTAAATTGTTTCGTAAATTGTTCAACAGATGGAGGCAAATGACGATCATTGAGTTAAAACATCGACTTGAAATTGAGAATCAGCTTGAAATTGTCTGATTGTTTTTCGAATTTTCCTCATCCATTGTCGCCATCTGATGGTGAAAAAAGAAACTATTTCGACTTTATCTCATCCATAAGAACGTAACTTTCATTCATTTGTTTTGTTTTGATTGTTTAGTTTTCCCGTTTGTTATTGTTGCCGTAATTTAGTTTATTTTTGTTTTCAGGTGATTACGATGAGCACTTCAATGACTCAACTTCTAGTTATATTGTGATTAACATCATTTAGAAAAAAGATAAATTTTATTAAGTGTTACAATGAAATCTTTGCCCTTTTTTACCTTTTTCCTTTGATTGTAAACAAAAATTACAATGAACATTAGTGTAACTTATTGTTTGGAGGAAAAAAACTTCCCAAGAAAAAAATCCAAGTCCACATTACGTTTACATGAATGAACTTTACCCTAAAATCAACTTAATCTTTCACCTCATCTTTAGTTGATTCATCAAATTGTAAACGATTTCAGCTCAACGATTGTCTTTCAAATTTGGATGATTAAATTGTATCCGGTTAGTATTTGATCAATTATGATTTTCCAATCAATCACCAATCTAATCCAAACATTAATCTCTCACCTCTGTGATTGTAGGGTTACAGAAGTTAAATTTTAACAGTTACTTTAAAGTTGACCATCGAGTGATTATCAAATTTAACTATTAATAGTTGAAAGAATTAATTTGATTAAATTGCTGTTGGACTTTTAAATTATTCGATCAACTATTTATTCCAGACCGAAATGAATTTATCACCTTATATCAACAATAGTAATCATGATGAGTTTCCAATCAATTGAAACACAATTCAAGTACTTGTGGTCTTTTTTATTTGTATCAATTTAGTTTCAATTTAATAGTAACAATTAATTATCATCAAGCTCTAATACTTACTCATTATGGTTTCAATTATTTGTAACCAAAATTTCAGGGTAAACGCTATTTCACCTGTAAACCAGGTAACGGTCGATTGGTTAGGCCAAAAAAAGTATCCGTTCGTGGTATCAATGGAGCTAAATTATTACCTGATGATTGAATCTCTTTAAAATATGAGCATTTGTTTTTGCAGCATTTAATTGATTTAAATCAACGTTGATCTATTTGTAAATATTCACTATGTACATCAACAGTAAGCAAATACTACGAATTGCACTTTGATTGAAATTTATCCTTTCATTCATATAACAATCAAATTGAATTTTTTTCGCTGATAATTTACAGTTAACATGATTATAATCTATCCAATTCTGTGAATAAATTTCAATCTTTATTTACATAAAACTGTGATAATTAGTATCGATGACACTTATTTCTGTTTACTCATGAGACTCATGGTGTGAGCTACCTGCGAATGATTAAATATTGTTTTCTATCAACACGTCATAATTTTCACACATGTTTAAGGATACGGAACTACTATTTAACGGAAATAAACTCTATTTGAACTTGAATAAATATTTAATCAATTACCTGAAATGCAGAGAACTTTTTTCAGTTTCATCACAAAGTTTTAGAGCTATTAATTATCGCGACAATGACAAAGGGTCCAGCAGGAAGAATTAGTTGTCAGCCGGAGAGCTTTCAATGATCATTGATTAGCTAGTGGATGCTCGAGTTACGGAAGTTGATCATAAATTGGAAATTTGCCGATTTAAAGCTAAACTGTATCGTGATCATTTCTAAATTTTTAGAGAACAAGAAAAGATTCTGTTAAGAGTCGACAAGACAAATTTTTAGCCTCCGATAGACTTAAATTATGTCATCTTGAGAAATTAGATCAAAATTCATTTGGTAATCAATTATGAACTCAAAGGTATCCAATCAGATGATGTTAATAGGCTGTATCAATTTCGGTTACAGGGTTTTTGTAAGTGCCTTTGCCTCGTCACCTGAGTTAAACTCAAAACACTATAAAAATTGACATTTACTAAGAAATTAACAGAGAAACAGTTAACTAAAGTTGATTTTATGGTTCCCTATTAAGTTAATTGTTGTAACATTTGAACAAATATAAATAATCATTTGATGTTTTTGTTTGACAATTGGCTTGCTCAGTTTCATAAAATTCACTCAATTCATGTTGGATATTTGATCATTTACCAGAAATTTTGAGTATAAAAGGTGAACTTTCAAACGTTAGATCATCAATTCAATTCATTGTCATCTCTAGTAAATTGTTATCTTTGTATTTGATTGTTATTCAGTGAAAATAATCTGATAATGAAAGTCTTCCAATTTTCAAGTTTCATCTTCATAATGGTCATTGTAACTATTTCCATGTTGATTGGAAAAAGCGAAGGTGCTTCTCCCAGTAATCATCAGGCATATCCACCAGGACAGCATATAGATGGTTCGGAATCAGGAAGGATTCAAGAGACTACTAAAGTCTGAGACTTAATTCAACACTGATCCCTAAATTATCAGTTTAAATTCCTCGTCACTGATGAATTTTCATCGTCTAATTGTTATCAAGTCAACCAAAATCTAATAATGAAAGTCTCCAACTTAGATATAATTCAATTATACATTGTATTCATTATCACAATAATAAATTTGATTTAAATATAATTTCAATCAATCACAAAATTGTATATTCTCTTTAAATGATCTTACAAATGAGTGAATAAAATTTAATGATTTCTCAATTTGATTCTTTGTTTTAAAATCGGATCACCGAAAATAAGTGAGCATCTCAAGAATGGTAGGTTCTAGAATAAAGTTTCAAACGTCATTGAAAGCTCCATCAGTCAAATATAATAAATGATGAATTTTTTCAAAATTTCAATTTCGATAATTCGAAATTGAATTTTATTATTGTTGTTCGAGGAGCAGGAATGATTCATATTCTTGGTGACCCTTAATATCCTTCCCGGTGGCACAAATAGATAAAAGTAGATAGAACTGTGATAATTAGTATCAACATCGATGGCATTTATTTCACCTCTTGTTTAAACTCAAAAACTAACTAAATGGAAAAGGTAAACAGTTAAACCGATCAAACAACAATAATAGCCAAGTATCAAAGTTGACCAAGAATTGATGACTTGGTGATATAAATGAATGATGAGCTTTGATGTGAGCATTATAACTTATTATTGAATCAGTTAATTGATCCAAAATTAATTGACCATTCAATTGATGAGTAACTGGAGTTTGACATTGTAATATGGTTAAACCATAATCAGTAAAAACAGCGTTAATTGGTTGACAATCAGCGAGATTAATTGTTTTTACATAGCGAAATTGTTCCATGTCAATTTTAATTAAAGTCCTTTCATCCCAATGGGTAACATATGCAAATCTATAGACAATAAATGAATAAGAAGATAAATTGATATAAAATTTGAGTTTTCTTAAAATCGTAAACAAACCAAATCAATTTACCTTGAATTGCCGTGTGAATTGTGTATTTCAACCGTTGATGGTTGAGGTATGAAAAGATTATAAACTAAATCAAAATGACCATCAATCGGTTTAAAGTGGATAACATTATGATTTCGGTCTGATTGGGTTATTCGGATTATTTGGACAGTTTTCCTATTGTGTCGTTGTTGATCTCGAGAGATTGAATCCCAGCCAAAGTTTTCAGGTTCAGAATTTTCGCCATTAGAATTAATAATTTTACCTCCGATTAAATCGTCTGAATAAAAACCAAATAGAAAATCAAATATCAATATAATCGTGAAATGATAATAATAATAATAATTTTTACCTGTTCCAGAATTAAGAATCCAAATGCGATCTTCAACTTCTCCTCAGACCAGCCAAAGATGATTAGGTCTTGGGTCAGTTCCAATAACATGGACAACGTTTAATTGTTGCGTATGGAAAACAATGATACGATTAAGATCTGGTTGACCAATATAAACCTTTGAATTGGAAATTATCGCATTTTCAGACCATTAAGTATCTCGAGCATCTATTTCATAAAGTAAACCTGAACATCCCTCGGTGAAAACACTCACTCCACTGCTATGGAAAACCCAAATGAATTGGGAACTTACGAAAGTCAATGAAAACTCATCGTGAAAATGTGCGATCTATCGAATTGATTAAACCAAATGAAAACTCGGTGAAAGCCACTGAAAAATGCTGTGTGAGTCACAAATGCTGTAAGTTGACATTTACCAATAAACTAATAGAAAAACAATTAACTCATGTTGATTACATGGCCCCTTTTTAACCAATTGCTGTAACATTTAAACAAATACAAATGAATTGTTAATTAAAAATTAACTTGTTTAGTTTGATAAAATTATTCAATGCATGGTGGATATTTGATCAGTTACCAGAAATTTTGAGTATAAAAAGTGAACTTTCAAACGTTGAATTATCAGTTCAATTCATTGTCATCTCTAGTAAATTGTTATCTTTGTATTTGATTGTTATACCGTGAAAGATAATCTATTAATAATGAAAGTTTTCCAATTTTCAAGTTTCGTCTTCATCGTGGTGATTGTAACTATTTCCATGCAGATTGGAAAAAGTGAAAGTTCTTCTATTAATAACAGTCGAAGTCGTCGTGAAAACCCAACATTAAGTGCAGATTTCATTACAACTGCTTCACCAACGATGCCTTCTCTAAAATCTGACGAAGAAGACTCAGATTCGGACATTAATAGTGAATCGGATAAAAAGTGTTTGGACAATACTAACAACGTTGATTGTACCGAATCAAGTTTATTTGCAGGCAAAGTTTCACCTCTACCTCCAACTCCAACAACTCAAGGTCAAGGCTTATCTTTATCAACAACTCCAACTGCTTCACCAACGATGCCTACTCTAAAATCTGTTAAAGAGTTGGACCGTGAATCGCTTAAAAAGTGTGTGGAAACTGGTTATGGAGATGGTCGCATTGGTTGTACCAAAGGAAGTGGAGCTTCAACTCTACCTCAAACTCCAACTGTAGTTTAACTACCTGCTCAAGTCGGCATCCGTAGTTTACGGTAGTTCAGCAGATCTACTTCGTAAATGAATAGATCGTTATTAAACATTGTTACCTATCAAAACAAATGAACATTTGTCATTAATTGTAATTTCGCAAAATCGATTATAAAAAATAAAAAAGACAATTGATAAATAGTTTGATTGTATTTATTTCCCTTAAATCACGTACAACTGACAAAAACATTGAAAATTCTGTTTCAAGAGGATATTGGAAATTAACATTTCAACGCTCCCAAAATTGATGATCAAGATAATGTTCAAGTATTATTCAACCGTAATCGATTTATTCCTTTCCAACAAAAATGAACTTTTTCTTCTGATTTTATTCTAAAAAATTATAAACTTGCGATCACTAATGAAAAAAGAATTTTTTTCGCGAATTTTGACTGATTGAGTTTATTTTACGCGCTTTTGAAGTTTCGAATTTCGCCCGTGAAACGGCCGACAGATGGAGCTGAATCTCCTTTTGCTTGACTTGACATTTTGATGATATCATGGTAAATCTTGAATCTTTACACTGTTGTTGACCTTACATATTTATAACATTTTGTTTATCTAAACTGTAAAAAAGGGTCACGATGATGAATAGAGGGATGATGAAGATGATGATGAGGGAGGCAAAAGAGTTGAATTTATATATAAAAGTTGAGACAAAAAAACTTAAATTGTAAGTTACAAGACAATGGATTGGATGTTGACATTGTGAAAATTTACCAACGACAGCTAAATGTTGGTATTGTTGAGCAATTGTTTTGTAAATGAAGGTTGACTGATGATGATAATGATGATAATAATGATGATGACAAGATCCGATGAGCATAAATGGATGATTATTTGGTTTAGTAATTGCCTTTGGTGTGAGTGATTTAATCAACATGAAGCAAAAAACTGAGATTCAGTTATTAGGTATTGTATAATAACCTATGGCACAGCATGTGAACCTTTCACCATCTTAAACAGTGAGAATCAAAATTAAATTTGATTGTAATCAATTATTAGGGTGTTCAAACATGGCCGGGTCTCAATCGATTGCGGTCACTTCGGAAACTTAATTTCTATTGCAAACGAATCAGCTCACTTACTTATCAAGAAAATGAAGTTTGAACAAAATCCGTTTTGGCGATCAATTTTGAGACCAAAAAAAGGTCAATTTTTACCCTTTTTCTCTATGGAAATTTAACATGGGTTCAACAAAAAGCATGATTTCAATCTGATTAAAACTCTTCCCCCTTTCGATTAAAATTGTTATAAAATTTCATCCGGTTGAGATTCGAACCAGATTTTTTTACATGAGACTCTCATGGAGTTGAGAATAGCATAGAAGAAAAAATTTTCAATTTCGAACAGAAATTTTTGAATATTTTTCAGATTGAAATCGAGATAAACGAAAATCTGACCTATTTTATATAAAATAGCGCCAAAATTGGACGCCATCTTGGATTATCGTTTTATCTGAATTTTCCAATGAGAATTAGTTGCTGATCAATTTGAAATAAAAATATAATTTCTGGGATGATAGAAATTAACTGAGACCCGGTCATGTTTGAACACCCTAATAGTATTTTTTTCTTCATTGGATCTTTATGATTAACATGTATTGTTAACTGATTAACAATATATATTATGATTCTAATTGTAAATGATTAGTTGGAAAACTTTTTTTCTCCTGTTATTATCTTAATATCCACAGGATTTACTTAATCATTTCAAAGCCAATGGTTAACAATCAACTTTTTGTTTTTCCGTCTAATCGGATATCCTTTTAATTGATAACAGAATTAAGTTTAACTTGATTAACTTTTTCGATTGATTTACTCATAGAAACATTTGCAATTTAACTGAATTACTTGTTTACCTTTCGGCTGGTTGATTGCTCTCTCTCTCCTTAATCATCATCATCTCTTTATTATTATGAGAATATAATAATTTAAGATTAGTTTTTGGAAAAATTTTCTCACTCCTATTGTGTTTGTCCACTACTGGTCATCATACTCCTTTGGTATTAAATTACTAGAAGCCTTTTGGTTAACCTTTACTCCCGGAATGTTTGATATTTGTCTGAGCGAAGAAAAGTCAAAATTTCGTGGAACGATAGCGATCGTAATTTTGGTCCAATCTTTACCGAATTTTCAGAATAGATTCAGATGATGGTTCTCATCACATGTATAGTTTTTGTTACGTATTACGTAAGCCGCAATTCTGACCGCATCTTTAAATCTCCATGATTATGATTTATTCCAATAGATGGCAGAATTAATCAATAGTATTTCCTAAAAAATATGAAAATTTTTTATCGCTCCTGATAAACTTTAATTTAATTAACTTTACCTGTGAATTTAAAATTTAATTTCATGTTATTATTGTTTATCTTGTCACACGGATCAAGTTGGTACCGAAATCACGATAGTTCAACAGTTACTTCAGTTGTTTTTTGTTACTCTTAAAACTGAGACTCTTGTTGCGTCGTAATAACTTCAACCATTTCTGTTCTCTTGGTAAGTTTTGTTGGTAATTTGATACAACTTTCTTTTCTCTAACTCATACTTTAAACTTTATACTTTAAACTTTATACTTTAAACTTTATACTTTAAACTTTATACTTTAAACTTTATACTTTAAACTTTATACTTTAAATACAGTTAAACAAATTGATTAAAATTACCTCACATTTATAATCAAAATAATTGCTTTCACATTTTAAAAGATTTAAATTCTAATTTTATTTTCTCCATTTCTTTGTATCATACCTAATGAGTTAAACTTATTTGGACCTCATCTCCACTTCCACCTCAACCCTTGGTACTTATTTACAATCATCAAAGTGGACCTTTGGACAATCAAACTAACCACCAGTCAATTAATATAATTTATAAATTTTCTTTTGTTTTTACCTAATAATTAGTAAATCAAATCTATTGTAATTTCCCTCCCTGAAGTTGTCTGGAACAACTTTCCTCCACAGGAGGAGCTACAGTACATACCCTGTAGCTTAAATGTTAACTCATTGCATCCATCAGGATGTTACCAATAAATTCCTATTCACCTTTTATATTTTGCTTTAATTAAATGTTTTTAGTTGTTTCTAAATTTGAAATTTAATTAGATTAAATTATATCATGGATAATTGTGATTCTATTAAGTTTTTGTGTGATATTTGTGAAAGGACTTTCATCAATTCATCTAACTTAGGTCGACACAAAAAAACGTACGAATACGAACTTCACTCGAATCTAAATTAGAAAGAAAACACCTTGTTACGGCTAATGACATCCAAAATATCGAAGCATCTTTTTATTTACTAAGCAATATAAAAAACATTCTGATGATATTTTGAGCGTCGAAATGTGGATGGAACAGTTTAAGGAACTGCCGGATAACCCAGTATTATTATACGAGAAAGGTCACAATCAATTCATGCTTACGATAATGAATGAGACACAATGTTTCATGTTAAACAAATACGGACAAAAAATCATAAGCATTGACTCAACACATGGTACGAATGCTCCTCAATTCTAACTAACTACGATTTTAGTTATTGGTGATAACAAGTAAGTATAATATTTTTCTCGTTTTCTAAATCTCTCTCTCTCTCTCTCTCTCTCTCTCTCTCTCTCTCTCGATTGGTCTCTCTCTCTCCCTCGATTTTCTCTCTCTTTCTGATTTTTTTTTCTGATTATCATTATTATCCACATAATATCCACAGGTCAACTTATTTTCATCAGTTTCAGGGTTTCGTTTTAAATAAGACCCCTTAATCTTTTTAATTGAATGGAAATATCAATCCGGGCTCAAAACATGATTTTGGTTCGCAACCTGAAGCAAAAAATACAAATAATAGTGAAAAAAAGCAAAAATTAACTAAAAAAGTTGTAACAAAAAGTTTGGATGCAAAAAATTTTTTACCTCATCATCATCTTCTTCTTCATCTCTAGTGTCCTCTGGATCGGAGTCAATAATTGGGGGGATTGGGCTATCCTCATCGGAGGAATTCTCATCCCTTGGTGGGGTGAGACCACCGGCGCCCATCGCTACCGAGCTCTATATATATAAAAAACAATAGAAAAAAGAAAAGAGTAAAAATATAAAAAAAACTGATTAAGAAAAAAATTGGTACTTAGCATCGATGCCATGGCCGTAAACGAATGAAATTAAAATTTATTGTAAATTAAAAAAACAACAATTATTTGATATTATTTGCCTTTTTTGATTGTCTTGAAATTGAGTCCTAGTAAATTCCCGATGCCGAAATTAGTATTTAGGCCAATTTAATCTTCATCGTTAGTCGTTTAACAAGTTTACCATAAGGCCAATTAGGCTACTGAATAAAACAAATAGGCACTGATTCCAGACCAGCTAGTGCATTGAAATGAAATTTTTTGTCTTGAATACTAAAGAACTTTTAAATGGCCAGAAAAAATTTCTCGAAAAAAGTTTTGCATCTAAATGTACCACTTTTCCGACTTTAAGAGGCCACTGCTCGGTAACGGCTTTATGGAAAAGTTCTGAATCAGAACACAACAAAACTTTCACATTTTTTCTGTTGAATCGCGAAGAAAAAACTCTGACGTAATAAATAGCCTAGAAATGGTAAAGCGTCAAAAGTCCGGATATTTGGTTGTTACGCCCTGTATAAATTGTTTCTTGCACTTTTGTCAGTATTTTTTTTATTATTATTCTGTTAATTAAGGAAATTATCATTATGATTAAACGAAATTGATTCAACAAGTCAATCATTGAAAGTTTTAATCGACTAACAGATACGATTTAATACTTACGGTGTTTTGTTGATTATCGCCCAAACTCGAGTCTGAGGTCTAAATACCCAAAAGTGAAAAAAAGTTTTCCCAGAAAACCTCATTGGAAACTCGGTGAAATGTCCTGTAAAATGAGATAAGTTGAGGTCTCTGGTTAATCTAAATTGTAATGTTATTTTTCTGTTTCTGAATGGCGAAGGCGGAGATATTTTGGTATTGATATTTATTTCCATCCTTTGGCTTTGTTTTTAGGCTAAATTAAAAGTTTCTAAAAGTTTTAGCTCTTTTTAATCACGAGTCAAAAGCTCGTATACCTGACGAAAAAGAATTTTAAATTGTTTCGTAAATTGTTCAACAGATGGAGGCAAATGACGATCATTGAGTTAAAACATCGACTTGAAATTGAGAATCAGCTTAAAATTGTCTGATTGTTTTTCGAATTTTTCTCATCCATTGTCGCCATCTGATGGTGAAAAAAAACTATTTCGACTTTAGCACATCCATAAGAACCTAACTTTCATTAATTTGTTTTGCATTTGTTGTATTTTGATTGTTTAGTTCAATTTGTTTTGTGTTCAGGTGATTTTGATGAGCACTTCAATGACTCAACTTCTGGTTACCTAGTTATTAACATCATTTAGAGAAAAGTTAAATTTTATTAAATGTAACAATGAAATCTTTGCCCTTTTTCACCTTTAATTGTTAAATCCTTAATTGTAAACAAAAATTACTATCAACATTAGTGCAACTTATTGTTTGGAGGAAAAAAAAACTTCCCAAGAAAAAAATCCAAGTCCACATTACGTTTACATGAATGAACTTTACCCTAAAATCAACTTAATCTTTCACCTCATCTTCAGTTGATTCATCAAATTGTAAACGATTGCAGCTCAACAATTGTCTTTCAAATTTGGATGAACAAATTGTATCCGGCTAGTATTTGATCAATTTGATTTTCTAATCGATCACCAATCTAATCTAACCATTGATCTCTGTGTTTGTATGGTTACAGAATTTAAATTTACAGTAACTTTAAAGTTTTCCATAGAGTAATTTTCAAATTTAACTATGAATTGTTGAAAGAATCAATTTGATTTAATTTTTGCTGGACTTTTAAATTAAATGATCAACTATTTATTCCATATCAAAATAAATAAATTTATTATTTTAATTTTACCTTATATCAACAATAGTAATCATGATGAGTTTCCAATCAATTGAAACACAATTCAAGTACTTGTGGTCTTTTTTATTTGTATCAATTTAGTTTCAATTCAATAGTAACAATTAATTATCATCAAGCTCTAATACTCACTCATTATGGTTTCAATTATTTGTAATCAAAATTTCAGGGTAAACAGTATTTCACCTGTAAACCAGGTAACGGTCGATTGGTTAGGGCAAAAAAAGTATCCGTTCGTGGTATCAATGGAGCTAAATTATTACCTGATGATTGAATCTCTTTAAAAATATGAGCATTTATTTTTGTAGCATTTAATTGATCTAAAATCACGTTGATCTATTAGTCAATATTCACTATCTACATCAACAGTAATCAAATACTACGAATTGCACTTTGATTGAAATTTATCCTTTCATTCATATAACAATCAAACTGAATTTTATTTGCTGATAATTTACAGTTAACATGATTATAATTTATCCAATTCTGTAAATAAATTTCAATAATTTCAATTCTTTATTACATAAAACTGTGATAATTAGCATCGATGGTACATATTTCTGTTTACTCAGGAGACTCATGGTATGAGCTACCTGCGAATGACCAAATATTGTTTTCTATCAACACGTCATAATAATTTTCACACATGTTTAAGGATACGGAACTACTATTTGACGGAAATAAACTCTATTTGAACTTGAATAAATATTTGATCAATTACTTGAAATGTTGAGTATGAAATAGAACTTTTTTCAGTTTCATCACAAAGTTTTAGAGCTATTGAACCAAGAAAATGACAAAAGGTCCAGCAGGAAGAATTATTTATCAGCTGGAGAGCTTGCAATGATCATTGATTACCTAGTGGATGCTCGAGATACGGAAGTTGATCATAAATTGGACATTTTCCGATTTAAAGCTAAACTGTTTCGTGATCATTTCTAAACTTTTAGAGAACAAGAAAAGATTCTGTTAAGAGTCGATCCGACGAATTTTTTAGCCTCCGATAGACTCTTGAGAGATTAGATCAAAATTAATTTGGTAATTAATTATGAACTCAAAGGTATCCAATCAGATGATGTTAATAGGCTGTATCAATTTCGGTTACAGGGTTTTTGTAAGTGCCTTTTCCTTGTCACCAAATTTAAACTCAAAACACTATAAAGTTGACATTTACCAAGAAATTAACAGCGAAACAGTTAACTAAAGTTGATTTTATGGTTCCCTATTAAGTTAATTGTTGTAACATTTGAACAAATATAAATAATCATTTGATGTTTTTGTTTGACAATTGGCTTGCTCAGTTTCATAAAATTCACTCAATTCATGTTGGTTATTTTATCATTTACCAGAAATTTTGGGTATGAAAGGCGAACTTTCAAAAGTTAGATTATCAGTTTACATAGGAATGATTTATCAGTTTGCTTCTTCATTTTCAATCATGAATTGAACAAGGCTTAATAACGATCTATTCATTTACGAAGTAGATCTGCTGAACTACCATAAACTACGGACGCCGACTTGAGAAGGTAGTTAAGCTTGTCCTAGACTCAGACTTAACCTAACCACAGGCAATGTGGCCAGATTTGGAACCATTTATATCACCAAATCATCAATTCTTGGTCAACATATTCCACAATTCATCAAGTACTAGTCCAGTATCAACAACAATTATTGTCCAAAAAGTAACATCAAGTGGTAAGTTTCGCAATTAATCGATGATTGATTCTTTCAACTAATCAATTAACTTTATTATTTCATTATTTTCTCCAATCAGGTCTAGAGTTTCTCTACGATGTTCGAACTACTCTTTCAATCGTAAATTGCGATTTCGTTTGGAAGAATGGAAACTATGACGCTCTTCTAGCATCAGGAACAATTAATCGTGAAGATTTACTCTATTTATCTCTAATTGATGAAAGATTTGAATTAATCAGTGGCATCGGTGGCATCCCTTCTAAAGGGTAATTAGAATAAAAAAATTTCCATGAGAGACTGATAGACCTAAGAATAGAATGGTTAGAGTTTAGACGACAGAGCTTGAAGCTCTGAGCTTCATTCGTAAAGAAAATTAATCAATTGAATTGTTAGTTGATTGGTTTATTTGCTTACCTTTTCCATTTAGTTAGGCTTTTAGTTTGAACAAGAGGTGAAAATAATACCATCGATCTTAGTACTAATTGTTCAATATATTAATGAAAAACTTCAGAACTTACAGTATCAAACACAAATTAGTCGCTGGATAAATCCTAAAAGGATGCAATTACTGTTCAATTAATTTGTTACCTGCAAATGAGTAAATATTGGTGTTATTTCAAATATTATCTTATTAGAATAGAGGTACGTTTAATTAATTTAGGATACGGAAACACTTACTAACGGAAATTACCTTTATTTGCATTTGGATAAATGTTTGATCATCAACATTAACTATTTGTTGGTGATTAACATGATTAATTTTAAATTGTCTTACTCACATTTGTTACCTGTTCAGATTGAATTAAAAATATACAATTTTAATGTTCCCCAATCAATTGATTGATCATCCTTAAGATGTAAAGCAATTAAACTAAAAACATTGACCACAATTTGATTGCTGAATCACAATTTTAAATATTGGAATCAGTTATTACTAAATTAATATTATTATCATTGTGATTGTGATTAAATTAAATTAAAAACTTATTATATGTTCAATGAACGATTAGAAAGTATCAAAGTTACTCAGATGATTAATTGTTTTGTAAAACTTGATTATCATTCATTTCAGGAGATTTCAATCCTAACCTTATACCACTGTTATTGTTAATCACTTTTCCTCGTCAGGGTTATACCGCAATTGGTTAATAAATTGTTTACTAATTGAGAAATTAAAATTTTTGGACGTTTGTTAATTGTGACTTTTAAGTCCACAATATAACCGATGGTTCTTGACGATGTTCTTGAGTCTCACATTGGACCATGTTACTATTTAGATCGACGACAAATACACTTTCCGATGATGTTATTGCTCCGATTGATGATATTCTGGAAACGGCCATTGATCTATGTGATCTAAATTGTTAACAATTAAGAGTAAAGTTTTTAGAAAATATTGTTAGACCAATAATGTCATAGAAAGTATCAAAAAATTGAATAGTTCATTTCGATTAGTTTAATTACCCTTTAGAAGGACGACCGATGCCACTGATTAATTCAAATCTTTCATCAATTAGAGATAAATAGAGTAAATCTTCACGATTAATTGTTCCTGATGCTAGAAGAGCGTCATAGTTTCCATTCTTCCAAACGAAATCGCAATTTACGATTGAAAGAGTAGTTCGAACGTAGAGAAACTCTAGACCTGATTGGAGAAAATAATGAAATAATAAAGTTAATTGATTAGTCGAAATAATTAATCATCGATTAATTGCGAAACTTACCACTTGATGTTACTTTTTGGACAATAATTGTTGTTGATACTGGACTAGTACTTGATGAATTGTGGAATATGTTGACCAAGAATTGGTTGAAAAGATTATAAATCAAAATGACCATCAATCGGTTGAAGATGGATAACATTATGATTTCGGCCTGATTGGGTTATTCGGATTATTTAGACAGTTTTCCTATTGTGTCGTTGTTGATCTCGAGAGATTGAATCCCAGCCAAAGTTTTCAGGTTCAGAATTAATAATTTTACCTCCGATTAAATCGTCTGAATAAAAACCAAATAGAAAATCAAATATCGATATAAACGTCAAATAATAATCATTTTTACCTGTTCCAGAATTAAGAATCCAAATGCGATCTTCAACTTCTCCTCGAACCAGCCAAAGATGATTAGGTCTTGGGTCAGTTCCAATAACATGGACAACGTTTAATTGTTGCGTATGGAAAACAATGATACGATTAAGATCTGGTTGACCAATATAAACCTTTGAATTGGAAATTATCGCATTTTCAGACCATTAAGTATCTTGAGCATCTATTTCATAAAGTAAACCTGAACATCCCTCGGTGAAAACACTCACTCCACTTCTATGGAAAATCCAAATCCAAATCCATATCGAACTTACGAAAGTCAATGAAAACTCATCATGAAAAATGTGCGATCTATCGGATTGATTAAACCAAATGAAAACTCGGTGAAAGCCACTGAAAAATGCTGTGTGAGTCACAAATGCTGTAAGTTGACATTTACCAATAAACTAATAGAAAAACAATTAACTCATGTTGATTACATGGCCCCTTTTTAACCAATTGCTGTAACATTTAAACAAATACAAATGAATTGTTAATTAAAAATTAACTTGTTTAGTTTGATAAAATTATTCAATGCATGGTGGATATTTGATCAGTTACCAGAAATTTTGAGTATAAAAAGTGAACTTTCAAACGTTGAATTATCAGTTCAATTCATTGTCATCTCTAGTAAATTGTTATCTTTGTATTTGATTGTTATACCGTGAAAGATAATCTATTAATAACAGTCGAAGTCGTCGTGAAAACCCAGTTACATTTTTAAAGGACTTAACTCCAACTGCTTCACCAACGATGCCTACTCTAACATCTGATGGAGAAGGTCCAGTTCCGAACGCGTATATTGAAGGGGCTAGAAAGTGTTTGGAAACTGGTACTGGTACTAAGGAGGTTGGTTGTATTGTCAAAGATGAAGTTACAACTCTACCTCCAACTCCAACAACTTAAGTCGGCATCCGTAGTTTACGGTAGTTCAGCAGATCTACTTCGTAAATGAATAGATCGTTATTAAACATTGTTACCTATCAAAACAAATGAACATTTGTCATTAATTGTAATTTCGCAAAATCGATTATAAAAATAAAAAAGACAATTGATAAATTATTTGATTGTATTTATTTCCCTTAAATCACGTACAACTGACAAAAACATTGAAAATTCTGTTTCAAGAGGATATTGGAAATTAACATTTCAACGCTCCAATTGATGATCAAGATAATGTTCAAGTATTATTCAACCGTAATCGATTTATTCCTTTCCAACAAAAATGAACTTTTTCTTCTGATTTTATTCTAAAAAATTATAAACTTGCGATCACTAATGAAAAAAGAATTTTTTTCGCGAATTTTGACTGATTGAGTTTATTTTACGCGCTTTTGAAGTTTCGAATTTCGCCCGTGAAACGGCCGACAGATGGAGTTATGGTGTTTCAATTGATTATCGGCCAAACTCGAGTCTGAGGTCTAAATACTCAAAAACGAAAAAAAGTAATTCAAGAAAACCTTACTGGAAACTTGGTGAAATGTCATAGAGTTAAGTTGAGGTCTCTAGATACTCTAAATTGTAATGTTGTTTTCTGTTTCTGATTGGCGAAGGCGGAGATATAATATCTCAGATATTTTGGTTTTGATATTTACGTTCATCTTTTGGCTCTTCTTCTGGGCTAAATTAAAAGTTTCTAAAAGTTTTAGCTCTTTTTAATCACGAGTCAAAAGCTCGTATACCTTGAAAAAAAGAATTTTAAATTTTGAACTGTTTCGTAAATTGTTCAACAGATGGAGGCAAATGACGACCATCGAGTTAAAACATCGACTTGAAATTGAGAATCAGCTTAAAATTGTCTGATTGTTTTTCGAATTTTTCTCATCCATTGTCATCTGATGGTGAAAAATAAATTATTTTGACTTTATCTCATCAATAAGAACAAATTTTCTTTCATTGCAAATGAATCATTTGTTTTGTTTTGTTGATTGTTAGGTTTTCCCGTTTGTTATTGTTACCGTATTTAGTCCGCCTTTTTTTCACCTTTTATCTTTAATTGTTAAATCCTTCATAGTAAACTTAGCTAAGTTTCTATCATTTATAAATTTGTAAGTGATTAAAGAGAATTTAATACAATCAAATAATTTATCAATTTACTCTTTTATTCATTATAATCGATTTTGAGAAGTTACATTTCGGTATAAGTGTAATGACAAATGTTCATTTGTTTTGGTAGGTAATCTTCTTGTTAGGATCATAAGGTGGTCGTAGATCAGGTTGTGGCTTCGAGCTCATCAAGTTCCGCTTGCTCTTTAGGACTCAAAGTAGTTGAAGGTGTACTGGGTGCGGAAGTACCTAAGCCAGTACCTGGAACATATTGGTATTCTCGACGAATTCGATGATCAGAAGAACCTGCACTTTTTCCAATCAACATGGAAACAGTTACAATCACCATGACGAAGATGAAACTTGAAAATTGGAAAACTTTCATTATTAGATTTTCTTTAACTCGATAACAATTAAATTAATAGATAACAATTCACTATTTTCTTCTTATATCACTGATAAATTTAAACTGATAATTTAACAGTGGAAAATTCACTTTTTATACTAAACTTTTCTGGTAAATGATCAAACATTTATCCAAGTGCAAATAAAGTTGATTTCCGTGAGTGAGTGTTTCCGTATCCTAAATTAATTAAACGTACCTCTATTCTAATGAGATAATATCTGAAATAACACCAATATTTAATCATTTGCAGGTAACAAATTAATTGAACAGTAGTGCATCTTTGTAGGCATTTATATAGTGACTTTCCTATTCTCGAAATCTTTATATGAAGATTATGATATGGTTTGGTAAACTAACTACAGTAAAAACAATACATCAACCATAATAATCAATGGATAATTTTTTTCTTCGCTATCAAATGATTTGGGGTCAGAACAGCAAAAAGCAAAAAAGCAAAAGACAAAACAGCAAAGTCAAATAAGCAAAGGGCAAAATAGCAAAATTTAGTTATTAGATGTGATATACGATTTTCATTGAAACTCAAATTTTTATCTGCATTGAGTCAGAGAACAGAAAAATATGACTTGGATTAGATCAGGCATGTGATAAGTGTCAAATTTGGTTTGATTGTCTTAGGCCCTCCGGGCCTTTTTTTCATTAATAGACCCGTTTACGAGTGACACCTAACCTAACCTAATCTAACAAAACAAAACAAACCAAATATTACGTTAATTAATTACATTAATCAGTAACATGAATTTCGACTCAGCCGCTAATTTGTTATTATTATAAATTGTTCGATATAGTTTATCAATCTAATCGATTTAAATTTTGCTATTTTGCTCTTTGCTGTTTTGACCCTTTACCACTTTTTTTCTCCTGTTATTATCTTAATATCCACAGGATTTACTTAATAATTTCAAAGCCAATGGTTAACAATCAACTTATTGTGTTTCCGTCTAATCGGATATCCTTTTAATTGATAACAGAATTAAGTTTAACTTGATTAACTTTTTCGATTGATTTACTCATAGAAACATTTGCAATTTAACTGAATTACTTGTTTACCTTTCGGCTGGTTGATTGCTCTCTCTCTCTCTCTCTCTCTCTCTCCTTAATCATCATCATCTCTTTATTATTATGAGAATATAATAATTTAAGATTAGTTTTTGGAAAAATTTTCTCACTCCTATTGTGTTTGTCCACTACTGGTCATCATACTCCTTTGGTATTAAATTACTAGAAGCCTTTTGGTTAACCTTTACTCCCGGAATGTTGGATAATTATGATTATATTAATTTGATAGCGAAGAAAAAAATTATCCATTGATTATTATGGTTGATGTATTGTTTTTACTGTAGTTAGTTTACCAAACCATATCATAATCTTCATATAAAGATTTCGAGAATAGGGAAAGTCACTATATAAATGCCCTACAAAGATGCACCTACTGTTCAATTAATTTGTTACCTGCAAATGATTAAATATTGGTGTTATTTCAGATATTATCTCATTAGAATAGAGGTACGTTTAATTAATTTAGGATACGGAAACACTCACTCACGGAAATCAACTTTATTTGCACTTGGATAAATGTTTGATCATTTACCAGAAAAGTTTAGTATAAAAAGTGAATTTTCCACTGTTAAATTATCAGTTTAAATTTATCAGTGATATAAGAAGAAAATAGTGAATTGTTATCTATTAATTTAATTGTTATCGAGTTAAAGAAAATCTAATAATGAAAGTTTTCCAATTTTCAAGTTTCATCTTCGTCATGGTGATTGTAACTGTTTCCATGTTGATTGGAAAAAGTGCAGGTTCTTCTGATCATCGAATTCGTCGAGAATACCAATATGTTCCAGGTACTGGCTTAGGTACTTCCGCACCCAGTACACCTTCAACTACTTTGAGTCCTAAAGAGCAAGCGGAACTTGATGAGCTCTCGAAGCCACAACCTGATCTACGACCACCTTATGATCCTAACAAGAAGATTACCTACCAAAACAAATGAACATTTGTCATTACACTTATACCGAAATGTAACTTCTCAAAATCGATTATAATGAATAAAAGAGTAAATTGATAAATTATTTGATTGTATTAAATTCTCTTTAATCACTTACAAATTTATAAATGATAGAAACTTAGCTAAGTTTACTATGAAGGATTTAACAATTAAAGATAAAGGTGAAAATCATAATTAATAAATAAATTATAATCAATCAAATGATTAGAGTGTCAAGTATTTGATTAAATGTTACAATTGGAAGGACCAAATTCCCAGCTAAATAGAAACAACCCAATTCATTTAATTGGTTCATTCAAAACATCTTATTTTCCCAATTCCATAAGAGACACTCCACTTGACACTGAGCTTTGAATTTCTATTCTAAAAATGATTTTTTCCTGAATTTTTGCTCATTGAGTTTATTTTACGCGCTTTTGAAGTTTAGAATTTAGCCCGTGAAACGGCCGACAGATGGAGCCAAATTTTCGTATTTTGTTCTTTTCCTCCATTTTAATTTTATCATTTTCTTTCTCTCAACCAAATGTTCATCTAAACAATAATATTAAAATTTTTTTCTTTTGTTGTTGTTTTTGTTGTTTTAATTTAATGAACAGTTAAATTAAATTCCACACAAAATGGAGACTTTCATGTTAAATCCAATGAGGGTTGGAAGTGAATATCAGGCTGTTGTTCCAGAGGTTTCAACCGTTCTACCCAAACCTGCACCAGAATATGAGCCTGAACATGCCGTCCTTATCTGGTCTCCATCTAATGGTATTCCTCCTGAAAAGCTTGACGAGTTTATCCAAATTTGTCTTGAAAAGTATAATTACAAAATTGAACAAGCCTTAGGTATGTTATGTTGGCATAAATATAATCTTGAAACTGCACTTGCAGACCTACCAAATTTTACTCCCTTGCCTGATGACTGGTCGGTTGAAGATAAAGTGTTATTCGAGCAAGCATTTCAATTCCATGATAAACACTTCCACAAGATTAAACAAATGGTAAATTTTCATTTCCACCATTATTTTCACCAAACTTTCGAGTCTAATAGCTTTTTATTTCTCTTTCCTCTACTGGTGAACCTCATTCTCTTCACTCTCCTCTCCCCCCTCCTTCTGTCAATAATGTCAACATCCAACTTCTTACGCATCTTTTAGCTACCAGACAAGTCGATTGCCAATCTTGTTAAATATTATTATTCATGGAAGAAAACAAGGAGCAGAACTAGCCTTATGGACAGACAAGCTCGCCGGTTTATTGTTCAGAAAGAAGATGGAAGTGAAGCTGGTTCAGATGGTCTATCCGACAATGAAAATGAATCAATAAATGAGTTTAGTAACAATGGAGATACTAAAGATAATCCCGATGGTAAAACAAGATGCTCCAATTGTGCTACAACAGCTAGTGGACAGTTTCACAATACTTCAAAAGGTGTCTTATGTCGTTCATGTTATTCTTTCTGGAGACGAACTGGTCTAATGAAAAATATAACCACAAGGAAACAAGATCCTTCTGGATCAAGTCGACCCAATTTAATGAAAAGTAAACGTAAACCTCCTCGTGGTATGTCAATTAACATTGACGATTTGATGACAATTGTTAATGGTCCACCAGATCAGGGTGAAGCTTTCCTGAGATCACTGAGCAATGAAATTGTAAATTTAAAAAGAAATGTACAAAACTTAAAAGCGCATATTAGTCAAATCAAAACCAAAACTAATTCTGCTCATACATTAAAGAGACTTGATGTTTCGGTAAGTTATCCTACTTTTTCCAGTTCCAATTCTATTGATTACCGTTAACATCCTATTTAAACCTTCACTTGCTTCTTATCATAATCAATTTATTCAATATCATTTTTCGTTTTACTTTTTCTCCACTCAGCCATCCCAAAGAATTAACGCTCGATGGACCAATGAGGAAGCTCTATTAGCCGTTCAAGGAGTTCGAAAACACGGCAAAGATTTTAAAGCTATCGCTGAAATAGTTGGTAATAAAAGTGAAAGTCATGTTCGCAGTTTCTACACAAATAACGAACGTCGTTACAACCTGGCTTACATGCTAACGGAGTACGAAAATGAATTTCTTGGAACCAATTGATCTGATTGCCATATTTATTTTTGTCTCTCTTTTCTCACTCACATCTCACATTTTCATATCATCATTATTATTATTTTCTTTATTCTATATTCCTTTTTCCTTCCAATATTCTTCCTCTCTCTCTCTCTATCTCTCTCTTCCCCTTCTGCCAAATACTTTATATCTTCCCATTTCTTTCGTTGATTTCATAAAATACACTCACCACATACACACACTCACACCAAATTATGTAAACAAAGCAACAAAATTCATCATCATAAGCAAATGGAATCATGTTACGTTCATTGTTTTTTTTTCTCTCTCTCTCTCTCCATTGGAAATATCTGAGATGACCAACTACAGCAAAAATCCAATATGAAAAAAAGATTAAAAAAAGATCACCCTGATAATCCAGATTCAAAAGCGAAACAAAAAAAATTAAATTCTTAATATACAACGATTAACGAAATCTCAATTGATTTTCCATCGGGCAACTCAAACCAAAAGAATGAAAGAAATTAGATTGTTAATCTTGTCGAATGTAAAATTCTAATCACCTCCCAACCACCTTAACCATCATCTCTTTTCTTCATCTTGATCATCATAAAATAGTTCACAACCAGTAAAAGAAAGAGATGATAGATAAATAATCAGAGGAAAATTCTAATAATAGAATTTGAAAAATTTCGAAAACTCAAAACACTTAATTGTGTAAAGAGACTCAGAGGAATGAGAGACTCGCCAAGAAAAGTAAAATTTAGGTAACAAGTTTCTCTTTCTCGTCTTTCAGTTGTAACAATTAACTAGACGAAGAAGATGTTTAAATCTGTTGTTATTCATACAATTAGAATTAAATTAACAACTTGTATTAGTGATTAACCATTAACCCAAACGATTAAGGTGTTTATAAGTCAATCAAGTTAACAGAAATTAACTATAAATAGAATAATTTTTATTAATCTTTTTCGCTTGCAAAAGGAAAAGTAATACAAGTGAGACAATCGTGATTGTGTGAATTAGTTAATTGTGAGCTGATCAAAATGTGGGCAGGAATACAAGATGTCTCTTCGGCCGCTTTGCTCAACATTAAGGATAACAATCAGCAAATGGGATCAGCAACAAGAAACGGAACTCTTCAAGCTCATCATCAAACGGTAAGAGTTTCATATAAGTTAATTGTTCTCTTGTGGATTAATTGTTTCCATCCCTTAATTAGACAGTTGATAAGCTTCCAGATAAAGTGCTCTTGAAGATCTTCTCGTACCTTCCCCATCGGGAAATCGCTCGAATCGGTCGAGTGTGTAAAAAATGGCGAATCATTTCGTGCGATTCAAGGCTCTGGTCTCATGTTTCTCTGAGACCGGAAATCTCTGGTCTCCATGTAAACTCAATGGAAGCTCTTCTTGCTTTGATTTCCATTCGATTTGGTAAACAATTTATCTTCTTTAATTGTCCTTAATCATCTTTCTTTCATCTCTTAATTGGTCATATTCTTGATTTGTTTACATTTTCTCCAATCAAACTTGTTACTTTTCTCTCCTTAATCACTTCCCAGGAATCAATTGTTTATTTTGTAACTTTTGCTTAATTATCGTGATAATTAAGTCAATTGTTATTGTAATTGTTTTCCAAACTAATGAGAGTTGATTGTCCATTTTAATTACCAATGTAATTACTTTTCAATTGTTTACCAACAAGATTCCCAATGGCAATATTTTCATTTGAAGTTCAATCAATCAGGATAAAAGTTTTCTAAAACTAATTCCTTGGGATTAAGGTAGTAAATTGTTAATCCTTTTAAGGTAAATCAGGTTTTAATTTTTTCCCATGATTTTCAATTGATACTTACAATGTTTTAAATCTTAATTGTGAGGATTAAGCTTAATTTTCACTTGTTGTTAATCTCAAACAATTGAGTGAAAAAGTAAATTGTTGTCAAGGAAAAACTTAACTTTCTTTTTTAATTGAGTGTTAATCAAGTGTTAAAATCCAATGTAAATTGATCTTTGATTAGTTTTGCTTCTTGCATTTTCTGCAATTCGATTAGCCAAACAAATCTTATCGATTATGATAATAAGTTTCTAATTGTTTTCCTCTTGAAATCTTTTCTAGGTCCATCTTTAAAGTACATTGAATTACCCATGGAGTTAATTACTCACACGGTTCTCCATGAATTGGCCAACAAATGTCCCAATTTAACTCACATGTTATTAGATTTTTCAACTGCTATGCAATTGCATGATTTCAATGATCTTCACTCATTTCCAACTAAATTGAAGACAATGTGTATCTGTTTGTCGGAGGTCATTTTCATGGAGGGTTTTATGAGAAAGATTTACAATTTCATCAATGGACTTGAAGTGTTACACTTGATTGGTACTTACGAGAAGGCAGTTGAAGAGGAGGAAGAGGAAATTTACGAAGTGATCAACATCCACAAATTGAAAAGCGCTGTACCCAATTTACGAATTGTCAATTTGTATGGAATCAATTTCGTTGATGATTCTCACGTTGAAGCTTTCAGTTCCAATTGTATTCAATTGGAGTGTCTTTCTCTTAATTTTTGTACCAAATTTACCGGATCAGTTTTGAAGCTTTTACTTCAACGATGTAAAAGGTTACAATGTCTTCTGATGCAACACACAGGTAAATCAATCTAAGAGAGTACTGATCATAATGAGAGTTAATTGTTTGGCTAAATTGTCAATTTGATATTAGGTTTGAAAAATGAACACGTTAAAGCCGTTGAATGGGAAAAAACAAATCTCCAAGAATTGGATATAACTGCTTGTGAATTATCAACTGATTGTTTGATTGATGTGTTGTCCAGAATTCAGGGTCTTCGCTATTTGGGCGCTGGACAACAAGATGGTTTCAATGACCTTGTTTTAGGTCAAATGATGGAAAGAGGAACAACTAAAAATTTGATCGCATTCGATGTTGATGGAAATACCAATTTATCGGAAGAGATATTACTTCAGTTCCTTAAGATTCAAGGTCAATATTTACGTGGACTCCAATTATCTGGGATTCCTCATCTAACTGAACAGTTCTGGACAACGGTCACTCCTTTAATCAAGAACATAAAGTATTAATTTATTGTTGAAATTTTCTTTTAATTTTTCGTTCAGCTGATGATTTACTTTGCTACCTTTTTTCTGTTTCGTTTTCTCCAGGATTCTGGTCATGGGAATGCCCGAAGGTTGTTGTCAAAAAGTACAATCAAAGGTCCACATTGATTCACTGATCGACGGGATCGCTAATAACTGTCCTAATCTGGAAAGGTACGAGGCCCGTTGGGACGCGGAGACGCTTAGGTTTTCAGATCGATCAAGCAAAGCGGTTGATGCGATTCGTTTGAAATGTCCTCGACTTCGGTGTTTGGTTCTAAGTGATGGAACTTATTTTGAACTAGTCAAGTCTAATTTTGAACGAGCCGATAGACCGACGGTTGTCCGATCGACTGTTAATTGTCGAGTTACTTGTGTTTATCTTCTTAATTATTATAAACAAATTATCTTCAATTGATTTACATGTACCCGAGATTGTAATTGTTAAGACAAAAATGGAGACATTAAATTTAAACACTAAGTGCAAGTTTTATTTTCAGTTTATAGTCACGGGATTTACAAGGGGATTAAGGGGATGAGAAAATTTGACAGTGGGTGTGGTAGTTGATTAAAGATGATGATTGAGATTGTGACAGTTTCTTTTCTTTTTCATGTCTTCTTATTGTTGTTGCGTCATTTTGTTTTCTTTTAGTTGTTGTTATGAAATACATTAGGCCCAATGGAACATTGTTTTCTTGGTAGAAGTGGTCAAGAGATTTGTATTTATACATCAATTGCTGGTGGATTGGGACGGGGACAGTTGGACAAATTATCATTGATTCTTGGGATGGACAAGGATTATTGCCGATCATTTGCCGCATCTTTTTGTTTGCGTCAGTTGAACGCAGACAAAGGGATGGAAATAAAAGAAAGAAGAAAAAAACAAGCAATATTATATATCAATCAGAGATAATTAATTAAACACGGCAATAGAAAAGGTTCGAGGTGAGGGAAGAAATAAAAATGTCCAGCAAATGGTAAATTGGGGCTTTTCAATTGTTGCTTTTTGGGTTCTAAAGATGTTGATGTTGTTGTCGATGAAAATGATGATGAAGATGAGGATGAGGATGATGATGATGATGATGATGATGGTGATGATGGTGGTGGTGATACTGGATAAAATGAGAAATGACAGATGATTATGCAAATGAGAATATTTTTCCATGATAATGAGGATGATAAATATGAGGATGAAGATGCTGATCGAGACATAATGTTAGTTAACAATTGGATTAGTTGACGATTGGTCCTTATCTTCAATCTAACAATTGATCAACACATCATTAATGTCCGATGTTCATTAAATTTGATATTGGATGGTCAGAATATAATAATAATGGTGTCATGCTTTTGGAGAGTAATAAGAAGAGGGCAGAGAGAAAGAGGAAATGATGAGGATGATTATGATTATGATCATGTGGTGAGAGAGCGATTTACAACAGCAGCGATGATCGAAATGGAGATAATGTTACAACTTAAAAAAGGTCGAGTTAAGAACTTTCAGTAGAATTGAATTTAACATAATTAGGCAAAAAGGTTTGAAAGAATCAATTTTTCATCTTTTCTTAGCAAAAAGACTGTACAAATGAAACATTATCTATCTTTCGTTTCTTTTGCTTCAGATTATTTCGCAAATGTCCAATATAACAGATGATTTAAATATGAATGAGATTACAGGTTGGGATGTGTTATGGTTAAGAGATGCAATCAAATGGTCGATCCTGAAACACTAAGATAAAAATTGTTATGAACAAGAGGAAAGGGCAAAGATAAACGATGATTAAGTTGATTTTGGTTTTTGAGCAGCTCTGGTTGTTTACCCAAGTAATAATAATAATATTCGAGTTCACTAGCAATTAGTTAATTGTTAAACAAGTTAAAGTTGTCGTGAGGAGATTAAGATATTGTCCAGCCTTTTAAATGCTGAATTCGCCTTCAATGGTAATCATGATGATCAGAGAGTCGATAAAAAAAGCATTTGTTGCTCACAATGAAAATTATCACAGATTTTTGTTTACAAATTATCACCTCCGTTTGTTAATCTAATCAAATATCTGGAAGCTTTTGCTTTCACTTTTCCCTTATTCACAGTCGGTGGTGATTTCATGCTCGACGCCGAAGATGTTGACCGCCGTTGTTTCCCTCTTCTATTGGCACCATCGTGATCTGCTCCCGAGTCCATGTCGGTGTCAGTGTCAAGGTTTTCATGCATATCTTCAAGTTCACCGTTCAAATCATCTTCATCGTCTTCTTGTCCCATCAGAGATTTCAGACTTTCGTCATCAGAGTCTCGAGACCCGAGACTCCGCTCATGGAGGAGCCATTGACGATCCGCCGGTGGGCATTAGGTGTTGATATGCTGGATGATGAAGTGGATGCAGTGGGTAAAGTGGGAGGAGGTGGACTCTTCATGGACAACGAGGGTGATGCAGAAGCTTTTGAGTGTTTGGATGACGACGATGAAGGTGCTTTTACATTGGCTGATGAGTTTGAACTGTTTTAGATCTGGAGTGGCCGGAAGAAGAGGATATCCCTTTTGGAAGCATGTGATGAAGAGGTTGAAGCAGATGTTGTTGTTGTTGAGGTAGATGCGGTTGTGCCTAATCCTGGCATGTTACCTAATCCGTTCATAAGTCCTGATTGCGCCGCTAAAGATGCGAAATGAGGGGAACTCATTGGGATGTTCCCGAGTCCGAGGGAATTGTAATATGGAAAGAGGTAGGGAAATGATCGATACGCATTGGATAAATCATTCAAATTCAAACTCGGATTTAGTCCCAAGTTTGCATTCGGATTTTGGCTCTGACTTTGGTTCTGATTCTGATTTTGGAACTTGAGCTTTTACTACTTTTATGACTGCTACTTGATTTCTCGGAGCCACCGCCACTTTTACCTTCTCTTGACTGCTCGATCCTCGGTCCGTCTTTTACCTTCATTTCCCCCAAAGTCACCAATGGACATCGGATTGAAACCAGATCCCAAACCAGGGAAATTGAGACCGGAAAGACCAAGTAATGAACTCGTTAGTCCCATGTTTGAAAGTCCAGGGTATGGGAAAAGCATTTGCGATGCATTGGCAGCTGAACTGGTGGAAGATGTTGCGGTCGATGAAGTTGAGACACTGTTATTATTACGGGAACTTGAGGAAGATTGACTGGGATTAGTTGCCGCTGCGGCTGCCGACATGTAACTATTTGGATCCATCAACAACTTTTGGAAAGCATAGCTGTTTAGTAAATTAGGTTGATATTAAATGGAGCTAATGATGAAGGCGGAATCCAAAACTAGAACTAGTTGATGGTGTATTTGTTGATGATGCAGATGCAGAACTTGATGCTGCTTGATTGGCCAATAGAGAGGCGGCTGTTGCTCTTCGTGGACTAACACCCGAATCACTGTGTTTAGATCTACTACTTTCTCCAGCCTTTCGGTCACTTGTTCGAGTTCGAATTGTTGGAGGTGGATCTCTAGGTGCTTGTTGTGAAGACTGAAAGATAATTCAAATTGCACATGAAAATTTAGTAAAATTGAGATAAATCAACAAAAGGGATGAGTAAAGTGACTTACCATTGCTTTGAGAGCTGGAAGGTTTTCTCTGAGTAGAGCGGCCCATTTAGGGTCCATTTCATACATTGGATTCTTTTTAGAAAATCAGGTAATTTTTGAGAGTTGGAGCTTTTGATCCAGTGAGCTAAATCAAAAGAATAATGATGATTATTAATCAAATATAAATATGGAAAACATTAATTACGTACCTTCTTTCCATTTAGTTTGTTTATCAATGGTATGTGTTCTTCTCAGTCAAATTTTGTAAGTTTGGCAGAGATGAAGAATGAGAAGATGAGGATGAAGCTGGAGGAGGTTGTTGAATCGGCTGCACTTTCGGTAGTGATTGTTGGGGTGTATTATCGGGCTTAGAACGGCGAGAGCTTCGTTTTTTACTATCTGGTAACTCCAACAACTGAGTCTATAAAGTGAAGATGAAAAATTAATGAGTGAAAACAACGAGTAAACTAATGGTAGTTTGTTTTGATTATAAGTGGAAGTTAACACATTTGCAGCTAAAGGCGATGCTCCAGATAATATTGCAGCGGCGGAGGCAAAGGTTGGATTGTTCATTAACTCGGGATTTTCAGCAAGGATTTTCTTTAATTGTTGTACAGCATCTTCCTTAAAAGCTTTATCCATTTTAGATGAGCTTCCCTTTCCTAAATTACCAGCGATATCAGCTGATACTGATTGTTGGTGGTGATGTTGACGAGAGGATGAAGAGGAAGATGAAGATGATTCTCTATGTCCAGAACGAGGAGGATTGACTTTCGGTGGTGGGAAGTTTGTCTTTTCTGGAGGTTTCATTGATAAGTCTCGAGTAAGAGATGCAGATAAAGCTGATGATGATCGAGATGAGGAATGAGCGGCGGGTGGAGTTCGAGTTCGATCTTTTGGTGTAGATGATCGAGTTTCTACTTTATCCAATTCAGATCTTGCCCTCATGTCCCGAGGTGATGGTGTTGGTTTACTCTCAGGCACAGGATCATCTTGTTTCTCTTGCATCATTTTCTTTCTTTGTAATAAATTATTAGCAAGATCATCAATTCGTCTTCCAGTACGTTTACCTGTTTGTCCCTTTTTACCGAAAGTGGGTGATGTTAAACATGGATCATCATCTTTACAATCTTTCTTTACTGGACCACTAAGGTCAAGTACCGATGAAAGAGACACTGGTGTTGATGATCGTTTAACAACCTTATCAGGAGCTGCTAAAGGTTTAGATCCTGGACTCATGTGTTGCATTCCAGGAACAGGCTTAGTGAATCGCAGGTCAACGGTGTCCAGATTTGGTATTCGTTTGGTGTTGGAAACTGAGTGAGCAGCGGGAGGAGCTCCCAAAGATTTGCTCGAAGACGATTTATTTGGAAGATCGGAAATGGGTGGTGCAAGAGGTGTTTTAATCGATGATGATGAAGCGAATGGATGAACTACAGTTGGAAGATGATGGTGAGAATGTGAGTGAGAGTGAGAGTGAGAATGAGATTTACTTCGACCCTCTGAACCATGAGATCGATTCATCAAAGAGATGAACCTTTATCCTCATTAACAAGTTCATTTCGGAAGTTTTGAAGTGACATTGAAAACAATGGTGGCAACAGAGGAGGAGTATTGATCATGGAGCTCATATTGGGAGTCATGTTTTTCTTTGAGGATTGAATATTATTGTCCGATTGTTGTAGTAAATTTCTTAGTTTAGCTCTTTCCGGATGTTCCATTTCATAGCGACCTCTTCGTCGTCTACCTCGAGATCGAAGTCGCCCTCCGGCATCAATCATACCAGAAGCATTAGCGACATCAAACATAAATGGATCAGGTGAAGGTGAAACTGACTCATGTCGAGGTGTATTGTCGGGTGTTTGTTGTGGAGTTGCCTCTCTACTCATACTGGAAATGCTCACAGGAGATGCCGCTCTCGGTGAACTATCGGCAGTCGCA